CAACTTCCTTCCATAGTGACATTGAGGAGGAATCCAATTTAGAAGAGGACAAATGAGATTAGAAAATCGCTGGACAGTGTGGCCATTGGAATTGGTTGTAGAAGTTTGGATTGGATGTATGAGGATCTAATGGAGCAGTTCATAAGGCATTGGCATTTCCTTGCCGAGACAGACCCTGAGTCTAGCCTGAAACACTGGGTATTTGAATGGATTTTCAGGTGAAGAAACGCCGTTCTTTAACCACCTCTATGACTTGAATGGATTCTCTTCTTTGGCTAGATTTGGCTTCTGTCTCTCCACTGTTCTCCTCAAAGCCTGCTCGGAGACGCCTTGACGAAGTGGGCATGGACACGGTGTAGGGGGGTTCTGGTGGCCAAAGAAGGGGCACATTTGGGTTTGGACTTTGGTCTTCCCGAATTGGTCGAGATACCTTAGGAATTCTAGCACATGGACGCCATTGCACCTAGAGAGCGACAGTGGATGCCTACGGTCAAGATACCTCAGGAATTCCAATATTGACGCTTCTGGTTCTTGCAGGGAGTACATAGGGGAGAGAGAACGAAGGGGAAGAAGGAGAGAGAGAGAGATTGACACTTCTGGTTCTCGGGGGGAGTACACAAGGGAGAGAGAACAAAGGGGAAGAAGGGGGGAGAGAGAGAGAGATCACTGGACAGTGTGGCCACTGGAATTGGTTGTAGAAGTTTGGATTGGATGTTCGAGGATCTAATGGAGCAGTTCACAAGGCATTGACATTTCCTTGCCGAGACAGACCCTGAGTCCAGCCTGAAACATTGGGTATTTGAATGTGTTTTCAGGTGAAGAAACGCCATTCTTCAACCACCTCTATGGCTTGAATGGATTCTCTTCTTCGGCCAGAATTTGCTTCCGACTTTCTCCACCATTCTCCTCAAAGTCTACTCGGAGACGTCTTGGCAAAGTGGGCATGGACACGGTGTAGGGGGATTTTGGTGGCCGAAGAAGGGGCACATTTATCTGGTTGTAATTTCCATATATTTTTGATAAAATTACTGTTATTGATTAAAAAAAAAGAAGGGGCACATTTGGGTGTGGACTTTGGTCTTCCTGAATTGGTCAAGATACCTCAGGAATTCCAATATCGATGCTTCTGGTTCTTGTAGGGAGTACATAGGGGAGAGAGAGATTGACGCTTCTGGTTCTCGGGGGGAGTACACAGGGGAGAGAGAACAAAGGGGAAGAGGGGGGGGAGATGCCGGAGGGCAGAGGTGGAGTGGTCCACTGCTGCAACAAGTTGCAGCGGCAGTGCTGAAACAGGGGAGAGAGAATGAAGGGAAAGAAGGAGAGAGAGTGAGAGTGAGAGAGGGGTTGGAGGTGGAGGGGGTTATAGCTACTGCTGGTTAAGGATCGAGCCAGCTCGGTTTGCTGCTGCTGAAAGGAAGACGGCGAAGGATAAGAAGAAGAAGGGAGAGGGAGAGGGGCCAAGGGTAAAATTGGGTTTTAAAAAAATATACGTCACATAGTGTCACTTGTGTATGGGTTTTGACGGAATATTAATAAATGCTAATGATAAGGGTAGAGTTTCTCAATTGTTAGAAACAGTAGGGGTAGCGCTAGACAATAGTCAAACAGTAGGGGTATACTTAGTGAAATAGCTAAACCACAAGGGTAGTTTAAGAAATTTACCCTTATCCAAACCATGCTATGGTCACATGATTTTCAGCTTCTTGGTAAGCTAAGAATATAAGTTTTCCTTATTAAAGATACATAATCTACATCATCATCTGTGATATCTTTCTTGGATGTGATAGATGGGGATTTATAAGGTTTGAATTCATGTTGTTTAATTTCTTTGTTTTCCCTGTGGTTTGAGGGAGTGGAAATAAGTGTTTCTGGACTCTCCTAAGTGGATGATGTGTCCATTTCAGACATGTGTTGGATTCTGATCTGACAATGTCCAATGGATTCTCTTGATGGACACTTCAATGTAGCATTTTCCTTTATGTACTTGCTTATTTTGACTTAAATGAATAGCTAGTATACACGGAGAATGCTATTATTTCTAGAAACCATTATTAATCAACAAAGATAAAGTTTTTGATGTAATTGTATAGGGTATCTAATAGTAGAATTTGTGGCCATTTCTTGGTGTAATTGTAAAATCTTGGGCTTGCAAGTCGCAAATGTGAGAATGCAAGTTCAAATCTGAGAGTGGCCATTTTGTGCTAGAAATGCCAAAGGTTAGGAGGACTTAGGACTGTATCCAGTCTTCCCCTCCCAATACCCCAGATGGCTGGGACCAACATTGGGTAATGGCCTCCATCTAATATTAGTACTCAAAAGATATGGATGGCTTTTTATGGTTTTTACTTTTCTGCATGCATGTCCATCAGTCATTGTTTGTCTTCTTGCCAAGTCAGAATGCTGGACACATACCAGATTTTGACTTTTTGAATCTGTATCCATTTAATGTTGGTGGAAAGTGCTGCCTTCCCCTGAATCAGAGTGTTTTGAATGATAGCCTCCTTTGTGGAAACATTTCTGTTAGACAAGAGGAAGTACTTCTAGCAAAGCCACTTCTTTCAGGATTATGCTATACCTTTTCTGATAACCAAACTGCAAAATCCAAAAAATATCTAAGTGAAATTTCTTTTCTGCCATGATTTTTTCTTGCCCCGCTCAAACATAACCTTATATTGATGTTTAAAATTCTCCTCCTGATCTAAGCACTGCTAGAGACTACATAATTATGAAGAATGCAATCAAACACAAAAAAAAGGAAGATTTCCCAAAATTGATTCAATTTGTATATTTACTTTGGTCTTGTATGGCCTACTATGCATTTTCAGGTCTTGTAGAAATTGTTGTTTGCCAATAACATGGTAATGATGGTGTTTGCTTTAAATTGAGGGTCGTGAGATATATGGGACTAAAGACATATTCAGGTAAAATTTAGCAGTAACAAATGGTGGAAATTAGAGTTATTTAAATTGAACAAGGGACAAGTTTAAAACAGTCTCTTAGGCTCCATTTGGAAGGAGTACAAATACAAATATATAGAGCACAAAACTTTGCATTTTGTATTATTTTGTATGTATTTGTACAGTACATATTTGTATTTGTACTCTTTCCAAACTGAGCCTTAAGGATCCATGTTGTTCCACCAATTAGCCAATGGAAGAATCTTGTACAAGACCTTGTTTTTCTTGATTTTGTAAAGAGGTTTTCTACCAGCCCCTGCTTGGGAAGGTCCATGTTGAAGAAAGGAAAGATAAAATCCTGGAATTCCTCCCAATTTCTGAGAAGGACAATAAATCAGGGAATCCATCTAAAAAGTTTAGATAGGATGATGGTTTATTGTTCAATACTTTTCCAAGTGACATCGCAGTTTGCACATGCAGTAGGCATGTCAGATGATGCCTTTGTTTTCTTGACTAATATGAGGAGTTTATTATAATTTATAAATGGTCGTGATTGTTTTTTGTTGCATCTGATCTGCCTTTGGTTACTATTTTTATGAGTACTATCACAAAATACATACAATCTCTGTCAAGGGTCATCACCCAATGTTGATCCTGACCATCTGGGGTCTTGGGAGGTCAGTTGGATTCATTCCCAATCTTGGCATTTTTTGTGCAAACCATCTGTTCGCAAAGTTGAATCTGTTTTGTTACACTTATCAGCTTCAGATTTTACCATTGTACCAAGCAATGACCCCCAAGTACAATCCATGTTCTACTTCCATATTTAAGCTATGAAAACAACAAGCAATGACTCCTTGTAGCTTCTACTGTTGCAGATTTTCCACCTCATCAGGTGCCTTCTGGTCATGAGATGCTTAATTATTTGCCACGAGATGAAGATCGTGGTGGAACCCGTGTTTTAAAGGACACAAAAACCTTGGGATCAGCATATGATCGTTATCTGCAGAGTGCGGTATCTTGTTCAACTCTATTGATGTATGGGGGGTCTGATGGTGTATCCTTCAAAATACTTAATGCCCATTGCTCTACTTTTGCAGCAACTTTCTTCATTTGGTTCTGGAGAAGCTAGCAACTTTGGTGGTGGAACTGGATTTGGAAGAGGGGTTGGTGCAGGGACACCTAGTCTTCCAGTTGGAGAGCCTGATATGATTGGTGGTCGTGGGCCTGTCAACCCTGATCTGGCTCCAAATGGTCGAGGCATGGGTTTTGGTGGTCTTCAAGTGGATAGGCCAGGTCGTGAAATGCCACCACTCCCTCCAGATGCTTCTAGTACTCTATTTGTTGAGGGGCTTCCTCCAGACAGCACACGTAGGGAAGTAGGTCGTATCCTTTGAAAACCAACAATCATGCCAATAATTTAGGATGCGCCTATACATTACTGTTCAACCTTCTTCTTTTGTCTGCATATGGTTTGTCTCATTATTATTCCTTTACAAAGTTTCAAGATATATTTCGTCCATTCTTGGGTTTTAAAGAAGTAAGACTTGTGAACAAAGAACCAAGACATGTAAGTGGTTCACTTTCAATGTAATCATTTAGTTCTTTTTTTTTTGATAATTATGTAGCCATTTAGTTCTCTGTGACAGTAATTTGTCTGTTTTGTTTCATCTTAGTTTTCCATTGTTTTCCTTGTCTGCTATTGTCTTGCTACTGATTTTGTTTTCTAAAGCATATAATCCTTTTATCCATTATGCAGCGTGGCGGAGACCCTCTTATCCTCTGTTTTGTTGATTTCACAACTCCAGCCTGTGCCGCAACTGCTTTGAATGCCTTGCAAGGTGACCTATTTCCCTTAATCATCTTTAACAATGGTATAATACTTCTACCAATGTTTACAGAAGCATGATTGTGCCTAAACCATTTGAAGTTTCTTGTAGAGTGATAGTTGTTACTCTTGCATATCAAACAATCTATAGAAACTTCATAGTGATGCACATTATCATATTCATGCAGGCATACATATCATATGCAATACATAGAATTGGTATTAGTAACACTACATTTTTTTTATCAGTAGTAACACTCTACATTAAGCCACCCTTTACCATCATCCTGTCCAACATGCATGCCTAAAGCATCAACTTTAACCCAACCTGGTCAGGTTGGCATTTTAAAAATAACCCAAATCCAATCTTCAGCCCAGTCCAACCTTCCCCTCCGGTTAGGTTGGTTTCAAGGTGGCCCAACCCATTTTTTTGATCAATAACTGCAATAAAAAGGGCAGCCCAATGCATGGGGCTCCTACCAATGTGGGGTCTGGGGAGGGACAGATGTATGCAGCCTTATCCCTGCACATTCAGATGTTGTTTTCAAGATCCGGACCCAGTGCACGAGGCCAGTGCACGAGGCTCCCACCAATGTGGGGTCTGAGGAGGGACATACACTGCCTTTCCCCTGCACATACAGAGATGTTTCCAAGATTTGAACCCTGGTCACCCAAGTCACAATAGAACAACTCAACCATTATTCTAAGGCCCACCCTCTAATAGCTGCAGTAACTTTTTATTAATAATAGCAAATAGGAAAAAGTACAGTGAGTACGAGTACAGAACAGAGACAGTGAGATAAAACCTCTTATCTCTCCCCAAGTTACCCTTTATCCCTTACAACTGTGCCCAAAAAAATAACCTCTCACCACCCCGTGTTTAGCAAGCATCAGCTACAGAATTAACACTCCATTTAACCCAACTGTGACTTGCATATCTCTGGGTAACCACCTGATTTTCTTCCTTTCATTATTATGTATCCACATCTTCATCCCCTCATCTTGTAGCCAGTGGACTACCAGTTTTGAATCTCCCTCAACAAATAGTTTACTAATGTTCATTGTCCTCACCCTGTCTTCCAACATGCCATCACTTCTCTTTGAGAATCTTCCTCCCAGTGTTTTAAAACTGCAAGGCGCAAAAAAGGTGCAAGGCGAGGTGTGCGCCTTTTTGAAGCAAAGTGCAAAATTATAAAAAAATGCTAAAAAATAAAAAAGTCAGAAAATTCAAAAAAAAAGCCAAAAAATTCAAAAAAAATATTAAACATAATATTAATAAAAATATAAACTTAAAATTTAAAATAATGTTTTAAAAAACCTATTATCTAAAATTAAAATACATAAACATAAGTTGTAAAGCATATTCAAATGAGAATTTAAAAATGAAATCAAAATATAACACATTTTCAAGCATTTAAAACTTCTAATCTCTTTTTTCACTCAATTGCGTTACTTCATGTAGCTAATGTAATGTAAAACATATTACATTTCTAATTCTACGAGCCGCCTTTGTGCCACACCCCTCGAGGCAAGCCCAAACAAGTCCACGTTAGGTCTTAAGTTCTTGGTTTTCACACAAAAAATAATGATTTTATAGTTTTAATTGCTTTTTAAGAAGACATTTTATTAGGATGAATGAATGAACATTACCAAATTGGGGGTTCTCGGAACTTTCGCTCGCTCATCGAAGCTCCGAGAACCCCCAATTTGGTAATGTTGTTCATTCATTCATCCTAATAAAATGTCTTCTTAAAAACAATTAAAACTATAAAATAATTATTTTTTGTGTGAAAACTAAGAATTTAAGACCTAACGTGGACTTGTTTGGGCTTGCCTCGAGGGGTGTGGCACGGGGGTCCGCCCCGGCCCAGCTGCTATGTTCAAAAAAAAAGAAAAAAGCGTCAAATTTTCAAAAGGCGCACGCCTGGGCTGAGGCGTTAGGCACATCAGGCGCACCAGGCGTGCGCCTAGGACCTAGGCGAGGCGCATACCCTGAAATGCGCCTAGGCGCACCTTTTAAATCACTGCTTCCTCCCCAGCCGGTCCTGAGTATAAAGTGATGATTTTACCCACCTCATCTCTAAATACACCTCCAATTCTTGATGGTTCTGGATTTCCCAAACTGCTACCATCAAAGTATAGCTTAGTGAACCCTCTATCCACTGGGAACCATTGGTGATTGATGACAGTTGTAAACAGAAGAGCTTGCCACTTCCAATTTCAGCGAATGCACTACTTTCTTTTTCCAGAAAAATTCTTGAGTTCCTCTCCTCTGGTCCTCCCAAATTGTCCAGATCATGGCATCTTTTTATACATCACATGATTCTTTCCCCTGTTGACCATACGACACTGGTTGGAGCAAACATGCTTTGAACATCCACATGTGGATTCCACCTGCACCAAAACAAAGAGAGACACCATTCCCAAATAAAAGTAATAAAAGGACAAGAAATAAGTGACAGCAATTCTCACCATCAGCCTTAAATAGCACACACCAATAGGGGATAAACACCAATTTGGCCAGTTTCTTTGAAGTAGATCACAGGTAGTATATCTTTCCATGTATAACTTCCCAAGTTGTACCCCTACTTAGCGATCTCATTGATTAGGTTGGTCCAGATTGTGAATTTAGACAACTAAACATGGCAACTCCTGAACATGGCAACTCCTGAGTTCATTCTGGAAGTTTTAAGTTCTAACTTAGTTTGAATGTTATTCATAGGTTATAAGATGGATTTACAAGATCCCGATTCATCCATCTTGCGGCTGCAGTTTGCACGTTTTCCAGGCCCAAGATCAGGCCCTGGGCCTCGTGGCAAGCGGTAAATAATGCATTAGGTTGAGAACGTTCTGGCCATTACATGTAGCTCAGAGTAGCTGGTGCAGATTCCCATTTATATGTTCAGTTTATGCAGAGCACTTTTGCATGATGTAGCACACCGGCAATAATGGATTCAGGTTGCTCAATTCTGAACAAGATATAATATATTGAAGTGAAAAGTAAGGGCCAAGTGATGGGTTTACATGATTTTGATTATACAATCCAAATAGTGTTCCTTTGATGAACCATGGTTGATTGTTAACTTCATAAGCTGTGTTAGGAGCTCAACTACCCTTTGAACGCAGTATGTTGGAATCAAGATGCCTTCAAAATTTTTAACCATGTACTTGAAAAACCTTGTAAAAGCACTATAAACCTGGATTGTCATTGGCAGGCTTACACTGGAGGTTAAGCTAAAATTGTGCTTAATTGGTGATTTAATTTATGTTGGTCATCTAATCAATAACCTGTTATAATGATGCTTAATTGTGGTTTTCCTTGTGTTGGAATCAGGATGCCTTTGAAGACCGCTATTACTCGTCCTACTGGCGCGCTCATTGGGCATATCTGTAATGGAAAATATCTGGTTGATCTTGAACTTAGGCAGTCAGATCTTTGTCCCTAAAATGTTGGGACATCTGGTGATTACGCTTGTCAAAAGGTGGGCAAGGTGATAAAATACAATTCGAAACTTAAAGCCTAAAAGTCCAAATATCAGAGATAATAGGAAGTGCTGTTGGGGAGTTGGAATAGCAGTCCAAGGTTAAAAATATTACAACGTATCAGTGCGTATCCAATGATATGTACTATTATATAACCCACCGAAATCCTATTTACAGGGAGTTGGGAAGGGGTGTATGTTTTAAGTTTTAAACATAAGAGCTTCTAATGACCAACTTGCTTAACCCTGAAGGTTTTAAGCATTAGACAAATAATTAAAAGGCTCATTTACTAAAATACCCTGTAGTTTCATAGATTTATTATAAGTTATAACCATTCCACATTTTGCGTTTTTCTAAAACTCTCCCAATAGTTTGCAACCGATTTATTTGATGAACCTTCTATTGACAGCCCTTATTGCTTTCTGAAAGTGGTCAAATGATTACTCAAGGTTCAAAATATCGATATGCCCAATATGCCGGTAGAGGTGTATTGGGCAGTATCAATAACCTTTTTTTTATTTAGTTTTATTTTTTTCAAATCTGGTTCAGAGGGGTCGGTCGAAACCCCGATACACCCTCTGTAGGGGTGTATTGAGAAGCTCATGATACGTATTGATATTTTGAACCTTGTGATCACCTAATTGGAGTAGAAAATATTTGAGAGAATGGACCCTTCTTTATTTTCAAAGTATATTTTCATATAAAGTTTAAAAAAAACAATGTTGGGCTCCATTAGAATGAAGATAAAACAATATCATTTAGCATCTGGGTTCCTCGTATGCAACGACATATTCTCCTTTGATTACAACGAAATTGAAGTGATTGCTGTGTTTTATTAGGGGAAAGAACGATATTTTTATTTTAAATTTATTTGAATGGATGTTAGTATCAATACTGTCATTTTAATTTAAATCTAGCAGAAGGCCAATTAAGTAGGGGTGCAAATTGGGTACCCGATTTTAAGATTGGATCGAGTTTTTGGTCTTGTCTCATACCCAGGCCCGGCCAAGTTTCACCACTACAATAAAATAATTTAGTTGTAAACTATATAAGGGGTGTTTAATAAAACACAAACTATAGGTTAGATTTTAATAAATCCATGAATCTATATGGGCTTATTTAATAAATGACCCTATTTAAAATTACCATATTGCACATACAAAACACAATTTCCATGACTAGTGGCTTTGCGCTATAAAGCTTTTTTAAGAATCTGCTTTGGTTCAGCTGCATAAATAACATGAACTATGTTGACAACTGGCTTATCTGCCTAAGTGATAAGCCAGATGATTTTGGCAAGGTACTCTATTTAAGCTATTCAAAGAGGCCGAAGTGGACAGCCTATCAACTGGTTGATCGACAACTCACTGGGCTCTCCAAAATGGGCATTCAGCTTGGTCTTTCCAAAGTTTTAACCAAGCATTCTTAATAGGCATTTTGAATCAGCCTCATTTGTAAAGCCAAAGTCAGCAACATGAAATTATGAGTCCTCCCACAAAGAGAACCATGTAACATGATGAACAAAATTTGACCCTCTTAGCTTTTCATCAAACACTGTTTATAGGTTTTGGAGGGCTGAGCTGAAGATTCAACCAAGTTGGTTCTGCACTGAATAAATTATTCAGAGGCTGAAGTGAACATCCTTTCAAATGATTTACCAACAGCTGATTTGAGCTATCCGAAGTTTTCACCAAACATAACCTGTAGGTTGTCCGTGTGAGGTTGACCTCAAAAAACGAGAAGCCGTTGCATGCAATTCAGCCTTCTCAAACGATCACTGATTGTTTTATTATTTTGCTGGAGTGAAGAGTTTATGCAGTGGTAGAATTGCAGTAATCCTATGCTCCCTGGATGTCACGATATTCTCTACTTTCTGCGTTCTATTTGAATGGGTTGAGACTTAAAACACTTGAGACTCGAGAGGATTTATTTTCGGTGAGCATGTTTGTTGGTGTCAATTCAACCCAAGAACAATCCAAATAAAAGTATAAAACCACATTACCATTTATTTGCTTACTTCCTACTCAACTCTCTTAGTGGACTAGTGAAGGAAAAGAAAAAAAAATGCAAATACAGCTCTCTTAAGTTCTAATGTGAAATTTCGTTGTTTGTCCTTTCTACAGGCATTCAAATTTGCAGGCAAATAAGATTTGGATCGAAGAAAATGGCAAACCAAAGCATCACTGGCCATAAAGTTGTCGGCTTGTCGCTATGTTAAAACCTGACGACTGTCACCAATAATCACAACAGTAACACTCGCCATCCTCAAATCTATGAAACCTATTAGCATCTCTCACCACAAACACCCTCTTTAATACCTTTGAAAGACCCTTAAAGAATTCATGACAATCCCCACAAACCGTTAGGTTCTTGAAGACCCAATGGCCAGCTTCTTACTATGGACTCTCAAGCTCTCCTCTTTTGACTCCTCTTCTCCATCATGCAGTGCAAACTTCACCTCATGTGCATAACCTATATTTTCTTTTATTCTCATGTCCATCACCCTCAATACCTCGTGAATTCTCTCTGTAAGTGGGTGTGTGTCGTCTCCTCCATAGGAAGTGCATCTTCTTGTCAATACCAATCCAACTACACCCAACCTCTTTCTTTAGCCCTTTTTCCTTCTTCGCCTCCCTCACTTTCTGACACTGCTCCCATTCACCAGCTTCAACATAGATATTAGACATCATAATGTAATTCACTGGGCTGTCACCATCCAATCTCAATAGGACTTCTCCAACTTCTCTGTCAAAATCCAAGTCTCTATGCACCTTACATGCGCTTAGCATTGTCTGCCATATGCCTACACTTGATTCCCAGTGGCATGTTCTTTACGAGATTCATGGCTTCTTTTAAATGCCCAGCTTGGCTAAGGAGATCAAACATGTAAGCGTAACGTTCTACTTTAGGAATTATCCTTTTGTCTTTGCACAATGTTGAGAAATATTTGTTACTTTCTTCAGTGAGACCAGCATGGCTGCAGGCTGAGAGCACAACGAAATAAGTCACCTCATCAAGTTTGATGTTCTCGATCCAACTACATTTCTTCAAAGAGACGCACTGCATCATTGCCATAACCATGCTTTCTGTATCCACTAATCATCACAGTCCAGGAGACAACATTTTCTGGCGGGTATCTCATTGAAACGCTTCTGTGCTACTTCTGTTAAATGGCACTTGATATACATATCCACAACTGAATTGGCTGTTGAGATATCTAAACCGTATGGAACTTTTTACCATGTAAGAATGCATTCACTTCCCCTGCTCCACAAGGGCAAAATCAGGTAAGACACCCATCATGCTCGAGAGAACAAACCCATCAACTTGAATGCCTGTCTTCCTAAACTGCCTACTTGGCATTATATCAAACATCCTAGTTGATTCCGCAGTTTTCCCACATTTCGAGTACATATCAATGATTGAATTGGCCACAAGCAGTGTCCATTCAAAGCCGGTTTTAGTACAGAGAGAACATGTATTTGCAATTCCATTCTCAGCAACACCTGTAAACTAGTTGAGAATGTGAACTCATTCTGAGCTCCCCATTCGACAGAAGAGTGGCACTGTACATGAGATCACATTTCGTTCAGGCATTTTATTGAAGACAAGCAGCCTTGTCTCATCTATTGCACTCTTTGAAGCTATGTCGGACAAAACAGTTTCTTGGACCGCTTTGATTTCTCGGTAAGTTCGAATTGGCTGCCATGATGCTTTTGGAATGTTCCGTCGAATAAAACTTGCGGTAAAACTTGTTGGGAATTCTGGTTGTCTTGAACTTGATCAGGCTGCTGTTGAATTGAAAAACAGAAATTTGGGTGTTCAGTTGGATTCAACCATTATTACAAAAAAAAAAGTTGGATCCAACCATTTAGAAATCATTGCTTAGTTCCTTCAGATCATGCAGCAATCTTGAGACTGCCGTAACTGCAATGGAGTTCAATCTTTGTCCCCGCTTCACAGCTAGCTTAAATTACCTCATGCCTTCACTTTAATGGAGTCGAAAGAGTGTACGATGTGTTTGCAACTATCTCTTCGTAACTTTGAAACTCTTTGTCTGAGACAACTGCTTCAATATATTTTTGTATTTACGAAAAGCATATATGAGCTTGCCACGTCATCCCTCCATGTGGCAATAAGATATTAATTATAAAATCAACATTATTTGTTGAAATTTGAAAGGAAAGGTTTTTCCAGAAATTAGGGGGATCATATTTGTAGCTTAGCCTGGCCCAGCCCAGAAACATTTCTGAGGCGTATGTTTTGTGTGCTGGCCTGTCTTGGGCCCACATCAGGCTCAGAAATTTCTGGGCTGGTCTGGGTCCATGACTTTAGGCCCAACCTGCAACATTTATATACGTGTAATTTCATATATATATATATATATATATATATATATATATATATATATGTTTTAATATGACATATATACAATACATATAAAAATTATGTTGTAAAAAGTATAACATAAATTTTATACAATATATTATATGTATATAATACAAAAATCATTATATATTTATTATTTTTTAATTAAAGTCGTAGGCTCAGGAGCTCAGCCCGGGCTTGGCCCAGGCCTGGGCTATAGCCCTTACTACAGGTGCTAAGTCTAGGCTGGGCCTGGTATGGGCTGATCCACAATATCTCCTACCAAAACCTATCAAGTATCAACATAAGCCCATTTATGTTGGTTTACTTAAAAAAATCACTTATTTGACAAAAAAGATTTTAAAAAGCACTCAAAAACAGTTAACTTTTTTACTATTCATTTTTTCTTAGGGTA